CTGAAATGTGTTTATTTACTCTGTAATTGCGGGATTAGGTTGGAGTTCCCAGCTAGCAAAAACTGATTTGCTGGCAGGAGCAGGCACTCAGCTTTTCTGGAAGTGTTTGCTGCACGAACAACTGGTTCCTCAGTCAACAGGCAAAATAATTTAGTAGTTTGGTTGCATTGGCTTAGTCCTTAAACACAAAAACCCAACTAATTTTTGTTCTGTTAAGCTGTGGGTGTGTCTGAGGTGTTCATAAATTTACTCATTTATGCTCTTACATGCCGTGGAGTGATCATGATAAATTTACTGCTGACACCTTCTGGGGTGCACCAGATTTTTACCCTAAGACTTACATTTTACCTGTAAGAGCTTATTAATAAAAAGTAATTAATAATAGGCACGACCTCATTCTGAATGAAAGCTGTCATTTGTGTTGACTTAGCTGGAGGGAACTGCTTAATTTATACCACACTGAAAGTAAAAGCAGGGAGAGGAGGAATGTTTCGCTTGCTGGGGGGAGGCAGTGAAGTTGTAAAGGAGAGAAAGTGAAATATCTCCATGATAATTTGAGGATTTAGCATGTGCAGAGTGACAGCGTTTCTCTGGCTGAGCCTGGTGATTTTGGGATGAGTGGACATGGTGTGGATTCTGTTCCTGTTTCCACCCTGGATTCCTGTGAGCCTGTGGGCGTTAACATCTTCTTATTCCCAGTTAGTAAGCACAGTGTTCCCAGTAAAGTAGTAGCCAGGATATTAGGATTTTCTTGACCCTTCTAATAGATGCAGACCCTGACTGACGCAGCCACAGCACAGAGTGGGTGGTTTGGGGTTTTTTGTTTGTGTGTTTTGTGATGGGTTTGGGGTTGGTTTGGACTGGCACCAGTTTGTTGCTGGTGGAAGGTGTGCTGGTTCCTGTTGCAGCAGGACACCCTGCAGCATTCCCAGTCTGTTTGCACGTGCATTAAATGGGTTTTACACAGGAATTCCCTCAGTTTTAGGGCGGTGGTCAGAGGCTTTACGTGGAAGTGCAGGCAGAGTTCTGACTTCTCTTCCCTGCTCTTTACCAGACCTGATGCCTTCCTTTATCCGTCACGGTCCGACCATTCCAAGACGAACTGACATCTGCCCTCCCGACTCCACGCCCTCTCCCTACGCCCCTGGAGGAGATGGAATTGTCTCCAGGAACCAGAGTTTCCTCCGAACCCCAGTGCAGAGGCCGCCCCACGAAATAATGAGGCGGGAGAGCAACAGACTGTCTGCCCCCTCCTATCTGGCCAGGAGTCTGGCTGATGTCCCGAGGGAATACGGCTCTTCCTCCCAGTCCTTCCTGACAGAGGCCAGTCCCGGGCTGGAAAACGGCGACCCCGGAGCCCGGTGTTATTATTATGATCACTTTTACGAGGCCCAGAGGAGGCGGCAGGTGAGCGACCGAGCCCACGAGGACTACAGGTATTACGAGCACAACAGTGAGCTTTTCCAGAGGATGTCCCAGAATCATGGGAGGCACACCTCAGGTAAGGGTTTTTAGGGGTTTGGCTGAGAGTTTGGGTGCACCTGGGTGATGTTTTTAGGAGTTGGGCTGTGTAGGAGGGAGCTGCTTTTCTGTGATGTTTCTGTGTGATTAGATTAGAGAATTTGATCACATGTATCCAGAAAGGGAAGATACTCTTTACATGCTCTTTATTTATTAAATAAATGGGATAAGTTTAAGCAAATTTTGGTTTTCTTAATGCCAACTATACATGCAACTCCTCTACACAAAGTTGCATCAGTCCCTGGCTAAGAAGGTATTTTGTTCTTATTATTTACTAGTTTCATGATAGAGAGAATAACCAACAGCTCTGGATAATAACATTGCAGCATCGTTGTTGTTGTTATTATCATTCTATTTTAACTCTCATTGTCTTATTATTTAATGTCATTGTTTTAATTTGACCTCAGTAATTAAAATAATTGCTTATGAATAGTCAAAGGGAGGAGTGATTGCTTTGTCTAATGAGCAAATTGGCATCTGGTCCTGGTCCTTGACTCCTTCCTTTTAGCTTTTAATATTGTTTGTAAATACACCTGTTTTCCCCCTCAGTTTTTCACTGGTACTTGTCTTTGTTTTCTAAAGAACAGCATAAGAAAGAAGAAGCCATTAAATACTACTTTCCTGAAATATTTGATTCTGTATTTGATGCTGCAAAAACTATGTCCAAGGAGGAGTTTGAAAGAAACATTTCAAACCTGTAAATAACATGCCTTCACCATTAAATACATTGTCACTTGTAATCTGCAAACAAAATAGCAATTAGTCTCTAATAAAATAAATCTCCTGTCTAGAAAAATAAACCTGCCAGGAAGAACATCCAGCATTCAATGCTGCTGAGCTCCTGTGTGGAATTAGAACCTGTCAGGGACTTGTGTTTCCTTTACCACAGAAACATTTCCATGAGAAGTGATAGAAGGGGGATGTGGGAGCTGTCAGGCAGGAAATTCTGAAATGCTGAGCTTTTTAAGTCTTGCTGCTTTAATCCTCCTTTATTTTGCTAAATGCATCTGATTTGCCTCCATCTCTGCTGCTTGTTGCTCATCCAACAGTCATGAAACACTCACCTGGTGCAGGTAACGAGCATCTGGGAGAGTTGTNTGACCCTTCTAATAGATGCAGACCCTGACTGACGCAGCCACAGCACAGAGTGGGTGGTTTGGGGTTTTTTGTTTGTGTGTTTTGTGATGGGTTTGGGGTTGGTTTGGACTGGCACCAGTTTGTTGCTGGTGGAAGGTGTGCTGGTTCCTGTTGCACCAGGACACCCTGCAGCATTCCCAGTCTGTTTGCACGTGCATTAAATGGGTTTTACACAGGAATTCCCTCAGTTTTAGGGCGGTGGTCAGAGGCTTTACGTGGAAGTGCAGGCAGAGTTCTGACTTCTCTTCCCTGCTCTTTACCAGACCTGATGCCTTCCTTTATCCGTCACGGTCCGACCATTCCAAGACGAACTGACATCTGCCCTCCCGACTCCACGCCCTCTCCCTACGCCCCTGGAGGAGATGGAATTGTCTCCAGGAACCAGAGTTTCCTCCGAACCCCAGTGCAGAGGCCGCCCCACGAAATAATGAGGCGGGAGAGCAACAGACTGTCTGCCCCCTCCTATCTGGCCAGGAGTCTGGCTGATGTCCCGAGGGAATACGGCTCTTCCTCCCAGTCCTTCCTGACAGAGGCCAGTCCCGGGCTGGAAAACGGCGACCCCGGAGCCCGGTGTTATTATTATGATCACTTTTACGAGGCCCAGAGGAGGCGGCAGGTGAGCGACCGAGCCCACGAGGACTACAGGTATTACGAGCACAACAGTGAGCTTTTCCAGAGGATGTCCCAGAATCATGGGAGGCACACCTCAGGTAAGGGCTTTTAGGGGTTTGGCTGAGAGTTTGGGTGCACCTGGGTGATGTTTTTAGGAGTTGGGCTGTGTAGGAGGGAGCTGCTTTTCTGTGATGTTTCTGTGTGATTAGATTAGAGAATTTGATCACATGTATCCAGAAAGGGAAGATACTCTTTACACGCTCTTTATTTATTAAATAAATGGGATAAGTTTAAGCAAATTTTGGTTTTCTTAATGCCAACTATACATGCAACTTCTCTACACAAAGTTGCATCAGTCCCTGGCTAAGAAGGTATTTTGTTCTTATTATTTACTAGTTTCATGATAGAGAGAATAACCAACAGCTCTGGATTATAACATTGCAGCATCGTTGTTGTTGTTATTATCATTCTATTTTAACTCTCATTGTCTTATTATTTAATGTCATTGTTTTAATTTGACCTCAGTAATTAAAATAATTGCTTATGAATAGTCAAAGGGAGGAGTGATTGCTTTGTCTAATGAGCAAATTGGCATCTGGTCCTGGTCCTTGACTCCTTCCTTTTAGCTTTTAATATTGTTTGTAAATACACCTGTTTTCCCCCTCAGTTTTTCACTGGTACTTGTCTTTGTTTTCTAAAGAACAGCATAAGAAAGAAGAAGCCATTAAATACTACTTTCCTGAAATATTTGATTCTGTATTTGATGCTGCAAAAACTGTCCAAGGAGGAGTTTGAAAGAAACATTTCAAACCTGTAAATAACGTGCCTTCACCATTAAATACATTGTCACTTGTAATCTGCAAACAAAATAGCAATTAGTCTCTAATAAAATAAATCTCCTGTCTAGAAAAATAAACCTGCCAGGAAGAACATCCAGCATTCAATGCTGCTGAGCTCCTGTGTGGAATTAGAACCTGTCAGGGACTTGTGTTTCCTTTACCACAGAAACATTTCCATGAGAAGTGATAGAAGGGGGATGTGGGAGCTGTCAGGCAGGAAATTCTGAAATGCTGAGCTTTTTAAGTCTTGCTGCTTTAATCCTCCTTTATTTTGCTAAATGCATCTGATTTGCCTCCATCTCTGCTGCTTGTTGCTCATCCAACAGTCATGAAACACTCACCTGGTGCAGGTAACGAGCATCTGGGAGAGTTGTACTGGGATAATTTGGGGAAGAGAGGCAGGAGGGCAGGATTTCACAAACCAAGCCATCAATTTAAGTTCAAAATTACTACACTTGCTGTGTCTGCTGGGGAGACTTCAAAAATTAAAGCTCTGGCCCGAAAGTGGAGGCCAATCTATCAGATCTTCAAAAGAAGCTAAAAGTAGGGCTTCACAGCCATGTTTTTCTCAATTGTAGCAATTTCTTCTTTCTAAATAAACTTTTTTTCCCCTGCTGTTTGTTTACCTGTGTCCCCTTAGCCCTGGAAGTCATGAAGGAGCTGCTGCTGCTGCTTGTTTGGTCTCTGTCATTCAATCTCATATTTAACATTCAACAGTTTGAACAAATCCTACACAGATTTTGTAAGGGGGGAGGATTTAATCTCGTGCACTTGTAGGGAGAGACGAGGGTGAGCCTTTTGTCTGCCAAAGTGTTTCCCTTTCCTCTGTTTTGTTGTTGTTTTTTTTTTAAATTTATCTCAGCATGGAACATGAACTCTGAAATTCCTCTCTCAGCTTCACCACAGTAAGAATGTCACTTGTGTCCTTCATTTTTTACGTCTTTTTCAATAATTGCTGTTACTTTTTCTCAGTCAAAGAATTATGTGGCCCAATATAAGAAAACCTTAGATTTTCTTGCTTTCATCTCACCGCGAAGCTTCCTTTTTTTTTTTTTATTTTTTGAACCATCATTCAAACCTTGAGTGTTTCCCTTGAGCTGCTACAGTAATTTTTCTCTCATTTCTTGTTCCTTTTTTTCCCCACAGTTCCAGAATCCCAAGGCAAGCCTTTTGCTTTCATTGTCTTTGTCTAAATTCCTTTTTTTTTCTTCTGCATCTGCCCTGCTGCTTCTAAATGTTCGACCTGATTGATATTATTCATTGAGATAATCCTTGGCAAAATTGCCTCATACCTACAGTTCCCAGTTAAAAATCTCTTTATTGGGTGGAATCTGTAAATGCTGCTTTCCCCCCTTTCCCTCCTCTCCCACCCTCCCTCCAAAGGTCAGTTCTGGTACGTTTTGGGTGGATTCCCAAGGAAATGTTGCCCGATGAACACAAGGAGTTGTTGCTGTTGGTGAATATTTCATTTAGTGGTGGGTCCACCGGGTGGTTTTTGGGAAGTGAGAATTTCAGCTTTCACTCAAAATAAAGATTCTCCTCCTTATAATTTGGAGAGAAGTTACAAACACGTCCTCAGTGAGCTCTTCAGGGTGTTCAGCAAAGCAAGCCCCGTGGTTTTTCAGCAGTTTGTTGACAGCATTACATGTTCTTTCACAAGCATTTCCCCTTGAAGTCATGTTTTCTCTGTCATTATTCAATTCTCCCACGTTCTCCTTTTCTTATTTTCATTAAATTTGCTTTTAATTACCAATCCAGTGTTGCTGATTTCTCTGAACAGAGTTTTCAGTTGAGATACCTCCTGGTTTTATATGTTTACCTACCTCTGTGGCATTTCTTGAACCTTTTTATTTCTTTTTTTTATTTTATTTTTTTTTTTAGTGTCCTTTTCAAACTTATTTCTAAGAGCCTTTACCTGTCTTTCCTGGCCATGTCTTTCCTCTCTTCTAGGTTAAAGTTTTGGGGAGGTCTGTGGTTGAAGTTATACCTACAGTGTAGCTTGGAAGTAACTTGTAACCAAGACCTCAGAGTTATTTGTCCCTGTGTGAGCGGTAAGAACATTCTTCTGTGTCTATGAAAAAATTGCTGAGATTGAAATCACAGTGTGGAGGGACTTTTGGATTGGAATTAGTTCACTGGGATGGCAGAGGAGAGAAACAATTAATGGAGTGAAAGTAGGTTCATCTTGTAAACCTTGTAAAAAAATTGCAGAGCGGTGTTCGTGTTTCATAAAAGAGCAAAATAAATGCAGATTATTACATGAAACCTGTTTAGGGCTAAAACAGCCACACTTTTTAGGTGTTTACACGTCTCTCATTTTCAAACAAGTGGCAGTTCCTGCCCTTTTCTTCCTTTGTGCTGATTTTGCAGTAATTTTGCAGCATAATTCTTGCAGCTTTCACGGTCCTTCCCTGTCATTTCCTATTTGTGAAGTTGTGCTTGTTTGGAACGCCCCATTCCCTCTGACAAAAGAGGTGCCTGTGCTCAGGAAGTTCCTTTGGATGCTTTGGAATGGGTTAGGAGGGCCTGGGACCTGCAGGCCTGTCTAGACAGAAGTGATTGGAGCTGCTCTTTGCTGTTTTGTTGTGACTTGTTCCCCGAAAATCAAACAGTCCGTTCGTCTTCTCTTCCTGTTCTTCATCCTGGTTTGATGAGGGGAAGGGAGAGGATTTTGGCATCCTGGAAAAAGGCTCTCAAGACAATTGGGCTGGTTAAAGACAAGCACTGGTTTGTGAGATTTGCCCTTCAGCACTTTGGAATGTGGTTGGAGGCAGCTGTGGGGAGTTCCTGGGCTTTGGAACTTCCCTGCCAACATCAGCACAGTTCCTACGAAAGGGAGACTTTCTCCTCAGAGGTTTTTCTTCTTTTTCCATTATACTGGTGCTGGGATTTTCCTCCTGTCCTATCTGCCCAACAGACTGAAGAACTGCCCTTTGCTGACCTGGAAATCTTTCCTCCAAAGGACTTGGACA